CTTTTATTTCACTGAACTTTGATAAATTATTCTTTTTACTGGTATTATCAGTATTTGTTGTAATTTCATTTATATTAAGCCATAATCGTCGCGAAAAAATGTTTCTTGCATGGCCCGATACTTGTATAGATTTGATAACTGCCTCTTGTCCTATTACTTCCAAGAGCAATCAGAGATCCCGCAATGGGATTTTAGTGGGTTCATTAATGGAATTTTATAGTAGGACTTGGAGATGATGAAGTGCTGTCACAAACCTTTCCGTATCGCTGTTATCATCATAATCATCTATAATTGTTATTTCCATCATTATTTCATTTACAAAACACATATGTAAATAAGTTCATTCATTTTCTCATCATTTATTCCTTATTTAGACCTATAATACCATTTATACCAGAAAGGGTAGGTAATTAATTAGTTGAAGGGAAGATAATATAGAAATTGGAACGATTTTGAGATTTTCAAAAAACTCAAAAAGATATGGCTCATACTATTCAGAAGTCGCTGCTGATTACACAGATAAGGATTTTAGTAACTAATATGAATTCCACTTAAATGAAAACCCACATAAGTACAAGGAACGAAACCAGCATTATCACATCGTGGTACATAAAATTTATTACTTCCTTAGCAGTAATCCGTCATCACAAGTACCGTCTACATTTCTTTCAGGTAACTTCTAAAACTTCTTTAAAAATCTTGTTTTCTCTCTCGATTCAATTCACTGATCTGTGGCAGCATGTTACGTTTACATACAACAATTAAATCAAATTTTTGTCAAATCAACCAAATTTACATATAACAATCGAATCGGTGTAAGAATATTTTCAGACCACTAGATTTTTAACCTAGCAGACTAGCTGTTCCAGTGTTTCCAAAAAGGACGTGAAGAAATATTTTCATGATAAGATCGAACCGGAAGTGTATTAAATATTAACAAAATTCGTATTAATCTACGCCCACGCCAGTGCTTTAATCAATGTGTAACTATTTTCATTGAAGAGAGAAGGTTAAGGTGTTGGGAGCAACATCAGAACGAACGGATTTAGGGAAAACAAATTCCGAAAAACGTAACTATATTTAAACAGGGTATACAATAAACAGATTTTCATTTCATTAAAAGTACTGTCGTGTAAACTCAGAATAACCACATCATCTATTTGATAATTCGAATGATACTGTTTTTCATTACACCATGAAATTTATAAAATTGCTCCAAACTGTTACTTAACTCGCTCACTGAACTACGACCGGATAACATAATTAGCTGAAGTTATTCAAAAACATTGAGAATTAAAGTCAAGAGAATTATGCCAGAATAGATGTGGCTAGATGAGGACATTCCCAGGAAAATAAACCAGATGTGGGAAAACCAAATTGCATTAAAATACGACTAAAGATGGATTTTTATTCCCATCATACAATAAAAAATTGCTGTACTTTGTTGGCCTTCTTCCCTCTACCTCTTGGTAGCTAGTTCTTCTTGGAAAAAAAAGTAAAAACGAGATAATTATCCAAATATCCCAATTACAAAAACGAACAAAACCAATAATAATATATGTCGCTACCAGTTTATTCATCTCTTTTTTTGTACACATTTGAAAATTAATACTCCATTTTCTGATGCACCAATTGTTTTTTTCTTCTGTCTAAAGATACACAAAATCCCTTTTTCCGAAGTAGATCAACAATGCGTGCAAAAGTCCAGAAATTTGTAAAACAACGACCACATTTCTATCAGCCGGAGCACTGAAGGAAACTTCCATGTGGAACAGTTATAACAATTGCTATTGAACAGAAAATGTGATTCATAGTTAAAAAAAATAATAGAAAAGGAAACTAATAATTTTATACACAAAGTTATTTTCGAAACCTGTCAAATTCCTTCTAGTTATTCTATCTTTCAAAATCTTGTTTACTGTCCGAAATTTAAAAGACAGGAAAGTTGTCATATGTTTGCAGCAAATAACAGGCAAAATCGATAATGTAGAAAGCGTGAATTCCTTTAAAAGTAAGAGATTTCTATCAAAGTATACACAAGAATCACTAATTGCATAAATCCGACGATTGTAGTCCATAATTAACACAACTGGAGTTATGTAACCATAATAACTAAAAGTAACATTCAATTACCGAAATAGTCAAGAAATTATGATCTTTATATTTTTCATACGATTTCCTACCCATATGGGTAGTTATTTTTCAAAAATGCGAAATCAAAAATAATACAACTATTACTATCAGAACAATGTATTAGGATTAAACAGAAGTGAAGAATGCATTTACTGTTTATTGGCTACCACACAAAGGTATAATCACCACTTCGACGATCCGTATGCTCGGAATAATACAATCAGATATAGTCTGTGATTACATTACAGCTCATCCTAAAGCATTAACCATCCAAAAATATCTTTAAAAAGAAATTATTCTGAACAGAAAAGTAACATGAGACCAGAAGACAATTCAAACTGAATATAATTCCATTTGCTCCGTGATTTCTGATTTGTCATGTAATCCAAACTTTTCTGGTTCATGCATGATCATTTCACATATTGATTCCAATTGCTTTTGCTGTATTAACTGTTCCTGAAAATTTGAAAACAGACTCTAAAAAACCATAAAATTTTTGAATGCTAGTAAGTGAATATGTATAGAATACGTCTGTTTTATGCTCACTTCCGAAAATCCTGAAAGCCTTGGCAAAAATCAATCCAAGGTACCTCTCTTCGCTCTTCATCAGTCATAGTTTCCTCCAGTTTTCTAATTTTGGCTCGTAGCTTTGCTGTTGCTAACTTTCCATACAATTCGTTAAATGGGCTAATTACTTCACCCAGTTCGTTGTTACAGAAATTATTCCATGTTTCAGACTTGAAGGATTTTTCCTTACACAAAAGCTGCAATGCGTAAAAATTTATAGAATATTTTATAGAAAATTTATTATAAAGAAAAACAATGTTTGACTCGGACTTCAGTTTTTTTTTTTTTTTTTTTCGCCATTTCCCTTGACCAGTTTTTTCGCCATTTCCCAACAGTCTGTAATCCTTCGAAAACTACGTAAAATCACTCCAGAAAATGAGATCACATAAGTATTTTTCTGTAGTAATCTCAATAAGTACAGAGAATACGGTAAATTATAATAAAAAGACTACTTCCAGCGTTGCATCTGTGTTTTTGTTCGTAAATCTCCACCGAACCCTGCTCAGGACCGCAGAGCTGAACCGACCGTTAAGTGCTATGTTAAGTTCTGAAATAAAGTAGTGTAATGAGAATAAACGTGCTTTCTGCGCACGTGTTAAACAGTGCATGAATTCAACTGAATAGATTTTAATCTTCCTCATTCAAAACATGCTTCTAGCTTACAAGAGCTTTAGAGGTCGCATTTGGCTTATGTATCTTACCATTCACTATTATGTTTCAGAATTCAGAAAAGTAGGCGGAAATGTTCTACAATGAATATAAAATACATAAGCAAAATTTTGGAAAACAGCGGAACAAAACTGACAAGAATAGCATACCTTCCCGTCGTACTCGAAACAATCCCCAGAAATACATCGGAACTACAAAAGCACAAAACGCTGTTATGACAATACACATTTTGGGATATTCTTGAAAGAAACTTGCATAGCTGTATGGTGGTAATGAGTGTAAAACAGTGTCTGGATTACTGTCATCATAATCTTCAAATATATGCATAGCTGTCCTGAAAAAATGATCAGGTTAGAATGAAAACCAAAAAACCACCATCGTTACTGCAGTGGACATTATCATCACAAAAAAAATTTTCATGTTCATACACTAGACTCCTACTGATGGATTTAACGGATATTACTTTCAGAGTAAAATACGTAAATACCGACAAAATAACTGTTGCCATGGATGCAACGAATGACAGATGAAGGAGAGCGTTTGATATCGATGAGAGTGCAACAAACTTCACCTATAGCGACACGAACATCTTCCATAAGAAATGTACTGTGTGCTTACATCTCTATCAGATATCCCTTAGACATACGTAAATTTCCATTTAATTTCGAACAGCAGCGAGAGCCTGAAGATCTCGATAAGCAAATAAGGCATTGAAATATATGAGATATCATAAAAGAAAATAACCACTACTTCTGAGCAACGGGAAGCATTAATCAATAACGGTGAGACTACGGGATGGATGGTAACGTGGAAGACTTCCTGTAACGGGATTACACAGTTCATAACGGTCTATTTACGGCAAGAGCCGTGCGTGCGACAACAAGTTTCTAAATAATCCAAGTTTGGAAGCAAGTTGATATGGTATGCACCCAGTTGGTGTTGTCAAATATGGTGGAGGAGGAATGCGTGCGGAAGAGTGAATTACAGGACTGCTCGGATGTAAGCTGAAGACTCTGCATTCACTTATTTTCGATCAGCTGTTAAGACCCTTTGATTGCTTCCTTTAATTATTGTTGCTTCCGGATGAACTTTGCATGATTCGTTCTTTTTTCTTTTTTTCTAGTAATTTGAAATCATTTTAAACGGTATTTCTATTTATGTAGTTTTGTAACGTTCGTCACTCAATCAGTTAGTGTAGTTCTAGGTAATTACGCTTCCAATAAAGATTACTGTGGGAGGAATTATTCCTCGTTTTTATTAATGATGGATGCTATATGGAAAACCATCGCTAGAAAATATCCGGTATGTCACAGTAAATCATCTGCACACGTATTTTTTCCCCTACATATCTTAAAGCTTAGTCGTTTCGCTCTCGCTCCGTTATTATCTTGATCTTTCATTAGTTTCACTGGAGATGTCAACTAAACAAACGCTGTTAAAAAGTGTGTTTACAAGAGAAATTAGCTAAAGCATAATTTAATGAAGATAACGGGAAATAGCTATATATATATGGGATAGAAGATAGCATCTATTAGAAACGGAAATAGCTTAAATTTAGTATGTCAAAATAATTATAACTGAACTGAATCAAGGCATTCTGATTCTAGAAATTGCGATTTGACGACAGGTTCATGTCAGGATGTTTGCATGGGCTCATTCAGGGTAAGATTTAGCTACTTAATTTTGTATCATTTGGACTTTTTTCTGGACATGAATGCATATTTCAGGTTTTTTATTTACTTGTTTAAAACATCAGCATGTTTGATGTTTAATGATTGGAGATGGTACGGCATAGGGAGTGAGATTTGCTTTTACGTTTTGAATTTGAAATAATTATTATCTGGAACACTAAAAATTTTCCTCTATTTACTAATTTGACCAATCAAGTTGGAATGTTTGGTATTTCAAAAAAAAATCAAGTATACCTAGTTAAGTAATATTTGTAAGTGATTTTTGGAGTGCTTAATATCATTATAGTGCAAGCGATTGCTTAAGGAAACATTTAAATCTTAATTTCGGCATAAATTTATTGTGATTTTTTAGTTCATTCTTAATCACATATGTTTCAGAAGATTTAAGCAAATTTGGTTGTGTTTCTGATGAACTAGCTCTTCAAGTACGGGCCATTGCTATGGTTTGTGTCCAGGCAATATGTAAAACAGATAAAGCACTTTGGCTACCTTCAAGCCTTCATTTGGCTGCTTACTATGATTCTGCTGAGCTTCTTGAAATTCTGATCGAAGTATTCAGTTATGAAGAAGCGATGGTAAAGTAATCCTATTTCCTAAGTTGTTTCGTTTATGATTATTTAATGAAAAGTTTACAGGCTGTGGATGGATTAACGCCCGCACAGTTTGCCGCAATGAAAGGACATTTGCGCGCATTGGCGATACTCTATCGCAATGTCGATATTAGTATTTACTGCTGCGTTGGAGGATTTAATGCATACGAATTTCTTAAAAGTTTTACGAAGCGCGAGGAAAGCGAGAAATTACCCTGCTTATGTAACTTTTCTGTCTAACACAGAAAAACGTGGAAATTTGATTTGGATGAGGGCTGCACGTTGAGATATTCATAGAAGAAGCTTTCAAATAGGCCGAAAAAGCGATTGCAGATTTTAGCTGTCGAATTTAAGCACATAAATGCGTGCCATTTTATCAGGCTAATAGCAAAATCATCGCTTAATCCTGAAGCGATCTGGATCTTATAATATCTGCATCTTTATTTTCGATTTATCTCTTATTCCACACTATGCTACCGTGAAAGATTTTATTCACGGTTCTTTATAGCACGAATTTATGCTTGTGGTGACAACAGTAATGTGTCTTTGGGTATTGTTTATGGAAAATGTACTAAATATCCTGTTCCCGTGAAGTTTTTTGATGAACCTAGCTTCGGGAAGGAAGTTACACAGGTGCTTATTCCTTTTTCAGTGTTTTTTTTTCTTTTTGCCATTAAGTCTGTCCAGATCTTGCATCATAATGAAGCAAAACAATGACTGTCGTCCTGTTTGAAAACAAGATGAATTGAATTACCATTTCTCTTTGTATTGATAGAAAAAATTTCTAGCTTATTAGCTAGTATCATTTTCCAGGTTTCTTTTGGGAAATATCATACCATTTACTTAATTGATGGGCGAGCATATTCGTGTGGTTTAGGAAGATATGGCAAATTGGGTCATGGGGACGAAAAAGACCAGTTAGAAATACGGGGTATAAAATTTTTGGAAACAATCGTTTGTGTTTGTGCTGGACCGACACATTCAGTCGTATGTACTCGTAAAAAGGTTGTCTTAGTAATCAGCTTTCTGTTCTGATTTTTGTTTATTTGTTAACAGTTCACTCTATCGTTACTTATTTACTGTTATTTATCTATTTATTTACTTAAATTTTGGTCAAAATACGTGTTTATTCTTTTTTTGCGATCAAATTGCATTCGCAAAAAAGGCAAGAGTTATTAGTCTTTGGTGAAGTATAATGATTGTTTTTGTTATCGCTCTCAAGATCCCATTTAGAACTGCTTCTGCTTTGACCATAGGTACGATATGTAAACCTACTTATGCTTTTCAGATCATAGTATTCGGGCTGAACAATAAGGGACAACTAGGATTGGGTACAAAACAGCTTGTGTTAACTCCAACAGTGGCTAAATCTTTTAAAGAAAATCCTGGTTACATTATTGACTGTTCAACAGCTGAATCACTATCTGTGATCATCATGAGTAATGTATGTTTTCTGTAAATACTTCTTGCATTTTTTTTATTCAGAAAAAAGTTTGATGGAAGCATTGTGCAGGAATTGTTGAAATTTTAAATGATGGAATGATTGTGTTACTATTTCTAGTTCGATTTCTACGTTACTGGGACGTCAAATGGTTTCTTATGGAAAAGATATTCAGGAAACATATTTAAACATGTCGAAAATAATTACGCACACCGAACATCATCCATTTCGGTCACAGATTCATCTTTGGTACGTATCTACGCTAAGGAGGATACATCGAAGGTAATTTTGGAAGGTGAAATGAATTTCAGTGGATGTACCAGCATTTCTTCCGCGATTATATTCTGTTTTGTATTTATATCCAGTACTTTTTTTGCCGTTACTTTTAGATAACAATCAAAGTTGATGGTAAAAACTATTACATCACTAGTTCCGTACACATTACTCGATGCATTGGAATTTGTTATACTCCAGCGTTGGTAAGTTGTAATACTGCAGTCTTCACTTTTTTTTTGCAGTGAACTTATTCTAAAACTGGTTAATTGGCAGGCCTTCACTTCGCCGCCCTAAATGCCTTAAAAAGTTCATCGTCTTTCGTGCTTATCTAAAATAGTTAGGAATTTAATTTTCCACTATAAATCAGAACTTTCAATCGGTCAACATTGAAGGGTGCTCTATTTTTTGGTTTCAACTATTTCTACGAAAATCGTCCTCATGCGATAACATCAGGGATATTTTTATTCGATTCAGAATATCATGGTCTTATTCGACCCGTATACTTCTATAGCACTTTAATGAAAAGAAGCATAATCGAGGTGGCAAGTGCGGATGTTACTCGAGATGGACAGATAATCATCGTTGACTACGTAAGTTCTCGTAATGGATATTGAAAACACTTGAAAAAAGAAATTCGTTTGTAGCAAAATTTGTTTTAACAACTTTAGCATTTTGCACAAACTAAACCAATGGTTTTATAATTTGTGTATTCGAATTATCGCTTTTGAGAAAGGAGATGTTTACGAAGGAAACTTGGCAAATTACACGCTTTGTTTGGACCCATATTTCTGCAACAGTAACGACAGTATGTGTTTTAATCTTAGGAATTTGAAGCAATTTTCATGAAACTAAAAAGACGAAGCATGAAAACCCTTGTTTTAACGTGTTCTGATCGCAACATCGTTCAAATAGAACTGGGCACCGATTGCTTTAGTTTCTATTATCACTGTACAGTAATCTACTGTTTCCAACAACATGTATACTAAACACTAATTGGACATACTGGAATTCTCTTTCTGTATCATTTTTACTTTTCACGCTATTTTTTTTTTAATGGTTTGATTTTTGGAAATGCTGTAAGTAGTCGCATTTTGTAGATTCGTCGTGGGATACTACTGATCATATAATAAAGGTAAAGGTTAATCGATTACGTGGGATTTTAAGTGCAAAAAGTGCTTTTTTAACACCAGATGGAAGAAACATGGTATTGAATTTGGTGGAAATCGATCCACGATCAGTCCTTCGTTGTATAGGAAATGTGTCTCAAGTACAAGTTAGTGGAATATTTTTGATTTTTTATTTCCAAGAATTAATCACAGGTGAAGTAAGTTTCTGTATTCTCTGGATATAAATAAGAAGTCGGATTTGTTTATTGCTTATCATCGTTGCAGTACCTACAAGAATTGTGGTAAGCATATCTTCCGCTGATTGTGATTAGCAGACTTCTTTAAATAGTGGATACTATCATTTTTTGACGTGATTTTAGAATAACTGTTAAAACACCGATCTTAACTGGGTAAAAAACACTATTATTTTTCAAGTGAGATAAAGGCTTCTGATGGAATCTTTAGATCTTTCATAGAAAGCTTGTGAATGTAAGTAGTAGTGTTACCGATGCATCCGGTTTTTCATGGCGAGAGTCTAGGATTGTTGAAATGACAAATTTGAATAAAATATTCTTGCAGTTTCCAAGTGACAGTATAGCTGTGATCATATGTATGGATGAAAATGGTGATGAGTTGGGACGCTATGAAACTTCTTTGTAAATTTTCATCGTATTTCATTAAGCCTTAACTAATTTTTTTTCCATACCATATAAACTAAAGATTATCGCCAAATAGATATAAGACATAAATGTTGAAATTTAGAGTTATCGATTTGAGTAGAAGGATATATAAGTCATTTGTGATATATAAGTAATTTGTTGGTTCAGTGCATTCATGCTAATATTCAGCGAGTTCAATTGCAGTTGAGCTATGTAAAAAAAGATTTTTAGCCTAACACAGTAATATTTAGGATTTAAAGAAATTTAGACTTCCACGAATCCGCAAGTATAGCCTGATTTTTCATTTTAGGGAAATGCTCAAACATGAGAGCGACGTCTGCTCATCGTATTTTGAAAGATGGGCAGGGAATCAAAATAATGAAATTCGAATTACGGGCAAACCAGAGTTAATGGAGATGTTCTTATCTTTTTGTTGCGATCACTGTTTACGTTCAAATTTGAGCATCCAAGAAGTGAGCAAGTATAAGATTTTGTAGCCACAAAGCTATGACAAACATTGATTGAAAAAGCAAGCGACTAATATCTGTTTGGAATCTGTGGGAACTAAAAGAATGTTCGTATATTCATTAGTCGTCTAATTCGCTTGGGACAAACTATTAGCGGCTTTAACCGCTGTAATTATTAAGTCACCGTGCAACCGTGACAAACTAAGACCGAAACTTGAAAAAGCAATGGCATTTCATAATATTTGACATTATGGCATGCATGCTGCATGGTTGAAATGGGTGTAAAATGGTTTTATGTCGGCCTACATCGATTATATTTTTCCTTGGGTCTCTTGATTTCACAGTAACAACAAAAAATTTTGTGTATTCAGCTAAAGAATACTTCAAATTATGTCACTCCTAATTAAGGTTTGGTTCAATACGATAATCATATAATTATAGAATTTTTATCTTTTTCAATGAAGTTTTTTTCCTTTCACAATATTGCAGTTAATGGAATTATTGGTATTTGCCGATAAGCTGATATGCAAAAGTTTCTTCAACGCGGTCATGAAAGAACTGTTCAGACCACCATGTAAGTTCAGAACAGATTTTACTATTATGAAAAGGTTTCAAAAGTGCCCCATTTTTAAACGAATAATTATATATTTCAATGTATTCGATAAATTAATGCAGACTCGCTCATGTGTAATTTCCATTCCACATTTTGCTGACAAGATTGAAGTTTGCAGTTGAAATGTCGAATCTGCGAGACCTTTTTGCTTTAGCTCGTTATCTATCATCTATGGAGCTATATCAAAGTTTGAGTGAACTTTGCGCAGCAATGTTTCCAACACTTCTGGAAAATGGATTTGTTAATGAACTGTTACTCGATGAAATTGCATATATTGAAGATGCTTTTCGTTCACATGCTTTGCAGAATATAGCCCACACTGTGGATATGTTTGTAATCGCTTCGATTTTGAAAATTTTGCTAATGTAATGTCCAGTAATGACAAGTCCAACCTTCTTTAAAATTTATTCGATTTCAATCTATAATAGTTTTTCAGGAATCAGAGATAAAAAAACTGGTGGTTCCAAAACAAACTGTAAGAAATATCATTGTGGATGTAATGGCAGTTCTGAAAGAACCGATGGATATGAAGTCATTAATAAATTTCTGCAAAACTATAAAGATTAATTCACTTCCGAAAAAACGACGCAAGCATATGGGATCATCACGGAGTAGTATTTTGATTATTTATATAGTGCTATAGTTTTAATTTAAACAAGTTTCAAGACTGCTCATTTTCAGGAACGGTCGATACAGAGGCAGTGAAAAGCTGTGGATTGCAGGATTCTTCTATCAATGAGAAAAATGATGGCTGCGGCGTTCAGATGCCAAATATTTTGAACAAGACGGCCTTTAAACCCATAGACATTAAGAAAAAATATCCTTCACTACCAGATATCCAAGTTTTTGCTTATTTATCTTTTATTGCTCTTCATTTTTTGATATGTCACTTTTTGAAACAAATGTGTTTATTTATTCATCTATTTATTTATTTACAGATTGCAATTGCTACAAATGAAGTTTGCGAAAAGTAAGTTAATATTGTTAAACTGTTAGCTTAAAACATATTTATGTTGTCGAGAAAATTTTTTCCCACATAGATTTCACCTCATTTATTTTCGAATATTTTAGCTGGCTTGCTAGACTTACTTTAGCTTGCCTAGAACTACAGTTTGGAAAATTGTTTGTAGGAACATTAAATCGAAAAAAAACATGCGTATGTTAATTTTGTCATCAAAAAATATAGGAGTTGGTGGCATCAGTTTCATCGAAGTACATTCCTCAAGTGTTTTGCGAGACTGATATGCTTCGGTGAATTTAAACATTCTTTGCTTTTCTTTAAAAATTATTTTGATGGTACTCCTGAGTTGAAATTATCTACTTTTAACGACACTTCTAGTTTAAAAATTACCTGTTTTAGTGGAACTCGTAAAACATATGCGTTTGCTTCTGTTTCGGGTGCTGTGACTGAGAGAGAAGGAAAAACTGTTAAAATAAAGCAGAAAGAGAAGAAGTGTCCTCATATTTCACCAACTAGCACATCGGAAAATACATGTGAACTTCAACAGAGAATTTCGTATTCATGGCATTTGGTATATTATTTTTAATTAAATTGTTCATTGTTGAGTTGATTGCCATAGCTTTTGAAGAAGATAAGAACGATTGAACATTTTGACATGTCTTCTCCATTAATATTCGAAAATTGCCTTGCTTTCATCATTTGCAGATTTATATAAGCTGAAGTAACCCCATTGTATATGAGAATGCATCTCTAGAGCATATCCATAAATTCTGCACTTTTTTCAGGATGAATCTGTGATTTGTGGGAATTCATTTGCACAAATAATGGAAGATGAACGAGCTCGACAGTTAGAAACGATGCGACAAGCGCGCTGTCGTCTTTCCGATATAAACATGTGAGAATTTCATTCGCTTTGAATTCTTAAAACAGTTCTCTTTCTGATGTGATGTCGAACTTTCTAGAATTGACCTGAATAATAGTTGAGAAGAGGGTGAAACAAAGACAATGCACTTCTTTCTCAAGAGTTGTGGAATTTTGCGTCGACGTACAAACAGTCTGAGTAAATTTGTGCTCGTGTGAAATTACTTCCTTTCTGTGGAAGTAAACGATTCATTTTAATATTCTTCGTGAAATTGAATTTTTTCTTTGAATTTTAGGGAAGAGCAAGCAATGGCTGAGCTGACAGCGCAGTACGAAGGCGAAGCTACAATGCAAGGTGTATCAATCACAGTTAGTACAGAACGTGAGGTGGAAAAAGTAAATGATCCACTTTGGGCTGCAAGATCGTGACTTTTTCCTAATTCATCAATCAACTCTAACTTGATTTTGTAGTCTTTGCTAGATGTTTATTGTAGTTCGCCTTGTTCCTTTTATACTCTGCACAACCTTCGTTCTCTTATCATTTCTGCTCTTGCCATTGGCAGATAAGGAAATGCAAAGAATAAGATCTGTGCTTTCACAAGAAGTACAACTTTTTTTAACTCAGTTCACTTCTATCTTTTACCAGTGATTGTTCTTACTCTTTTTGTCTATAACAGTTATCAAGTAGAGCATTTTTGTTGACTAGTTTAATGAGTTGGTATTTGGTTAATTTGTTTGTTTCCCTAGGGGTTTTAATTTGCACTTTTGGTCTTTCAGTCAAAACGAAGACCATTATCAAAATCAGTAAAAAGTTGAATGTGGTTTCCTAGTAAATCCCATTATCAGTAATAAATAGTGGTTTCTGAAAATTCACTTAGTCTGAGAGACATTAAGTTCTCTACCTTGATTATATGGTTAATTCGACTATTATCCATTCAGATATTGAATATGTGGAATGACCTATAACGTAGAATGTAATAGAACGTGTTTCTGTTCTACTACGTTATCCTTGGTTGAAAACAATTTTTTTTCCAGACTTTTTCATTGTCTTTAATCTGTTTTTTTGTTACGGAAGTGTTTGTTTTTCGCACTTTTTTTCGTCTACGTAATGTGATGTTTTTATGCCGAACATCATGATTTTGCTTTACTTCGGTACCCAGTTATATTAGATGGATGACAATGAAAGTAAAGTGACAGTAATGGTCACAGTGTTTTAGATTAAGGTGTTTTGTTTTGTTTGTTCGTATTTCATTAAAAGGAATTTTTACACATGAACATATGCATGTTAACAGAGGATCAGAAACATAAAACTACTGGAAAGTTTTTCCAAAACTGCATTGGTGTCGCTAAAGGAATGAAACAAAAAACATTCCATTAACCGATTAGTCTGTAGGAAATAATTTGGGCTATATTATTATTCGATAGTGAGATTTTATGAGTCGGCATCCATTTACTCACGTGGTTAGCAGAGGTGGACGTTAAGTATATGTAAAGGTTATATATAAATGTTTCTTGGATCTGTCTGTGGAGAGAGCTATGAAATAGACGAGAAACAGTACAAATTCCGGAATCTTGGAAAAACCAACCAGTACCCGCATCATTGTCTTGGAGTAATGTCATCTTACGTCAGTGCATTGTGACCCGTAATGCCGGTGCCACTACTGTCATAAGTGCCATAAAATAGTTTCGCTGCAGCTGCTACATTTTCTGCACTGCTGAAATTGATAATTGCTTGTGGTGGTGCGGATGTCGTGGATACTGATGTTGCGGTAGGATTTGAATGAAATAGGATTGCGGGATGTATTAGCGACGGAGCGATGTTTGCCAAGGGTGTTATGGGTATGCTAAAATATTTTTGAAGTTTGTATTATAGATGTACTTTAAGAAAAGAACAACCGAAAAAAAGTGAGTTCAAAATCAAACATGATATTACGTTTCATAATATTGCACTGAGCATTCAGAAAAGCTGGATATTGGGTATTAGTGATAAATTTATTGGCAAAAAAATAAAAATAAAAAAGATATGTGATGTGGTACTACTGGAAATCATTCGAAAAGGAAAAAATTAATAAAACCTATTTGCAACTGCAAGATTTCCAGAAAAACGTTCTGATGCATCACTTATGTGGTGCATATTTGAAGCGAAAATGTGTGATCGATGAATATTCATCGCGCTGGAACTGTCGACTTCACTTGCTGCTTGACGTTTCCACTTATTTCGTCTATTTTGAAACCAGATTTTCACCTGCAACATATCGTTATCATAATTGCTGTTAAGCACTGTTATCACTGCCTATTAAAAAATCCTCACTGACGAGAAGTGTGGAGCAGTTAGTATGCTAGCTTTTTTCTTGTTTATACACTGATGTTGTACGCTTAATATGTAAAGTTTGCATCCCGGTATTTTCAGCTTTATCTTTGAAGATTTTTGAAAATAAGTCTTAAAAACATAACAAAAATGAGTCGTGTAAATGAAAACTATCACGATGATGATAATGGGAAGTATTATAGCGTGACTTCATTTGTAGTTGTAAGAAACCCAACAATCTAAGAAACTCGGAAGCCATAAAAAAAGTCATACCACTCAAAATTTCGGAAAAAAGAGTAATAATGACACGAGAAAAAACGAGAATTTTGAATTTTCTGTAGTAGTTAAATCTCATAAGCTTCTGTTGAGACTTTTAGTGATTATTAAGGTTTTAGTTACCTGCGTTTCGCTAAGATGTAGAGTTGAGGCCAAATATGCACGTTCTTGGCTGGACAAATATCGTTTCATGTCAAAGGTCATTTCCAGCCGGGATACCTGCTGACGACTGAAAACTGTTCGAGTTTTTTTCTTACGTGGAATGGTAGATCCAGATAATAAAACGGTACTTTCATCGTCACTTGCACGTATTGCAATATCGCCGTCATTATCATCACCATTACCAGCACCATCATCATCATCATCATCATCATCATCATCATCATCGTCATCATTATCATCGTCATCATTATCATCATCATCATCAACATTATCATCATCATCACAATCACTGCCCACTTCGCTCACTGGATCGGTCACTGTTTTCGAATTATCAATCACCTTCGATTGCTGTTTTGGAAAACAGAGATAAGAATTAAAATCAGCAGAAGCATGGATGAAAGATGAAAACATCCTAAGTTTTGCGAAGTAAAAAAAATCTATACTAATTGTTTTTTAACTATGGTTTTTTACTTCCAAAAGATTTTTAGCAGTCCTTAGCAAGTTTTTACTGCTGTCAGATGCTTAACATTTATCAAAAGAATTTTTTGTATCTAGCCGATCTTGAGGACCATAAAACATGTTAAAAACCATTGGATAGGAAGGTCTAGTAAAAATTTTATGTTGAAAGTTTTTTTTTTTGGAAAATTTTTCCAAATTTTTTCTAAAAAAAAATGTTAAATAAAAGTTTTAAATTGGTTTACTTCATAGCTGGTGTTTAGAAGTATAAAATGTGCTTTCAAATCCAAAGGTAATAAACATACCAGGTGAGTTTCTGGTAAATTTTTCCTAACACTGATGCCATCTGGAATTACCTGAACTGTTTCATACTGCAAATCTTTGTTTCGCTGTGAATAAGCGGATACTAACTGGAAGAGATTCTTCGCAGAACTAGATACTAAAATTGATCATATAATATATTTGGAATAAATGTAAACATTGGCAGTAAGTAACATACTGCCCAATCGATTAAAGATAAATAAGAATCTCTTTCGCTCTTGAATCTCTCTCCTTAGTTAGCACTGAGACTTCAAGAATGGATTCGAAAAGTGACAAGAGAAGTTAAAAGTAGACCGAGAAAGTTTGGATTTTCATAACTATTTTTCTTTCCATTAATGTTTCTAGCAGAAGCAAAATCTATGGAAATGGATTGCTTGATAATAAGACATTTATGACAAAGATCCCATTGCAACTGTATCTGAAATTTGCACCTTTAATTTGTACCTTCATTATTAACTTTCCGCTCGTGGTAGTTAATGAGCTGTATATATGAAATATCAGTTTATGATGCATGATTGAAAGCTTATGATATACGGGTGAAAAATGCATCGATAATGCAGCGCTTTGATGATCCTTAGCTCTGTCCGCTTTACAGGGACTAAGAAGTCCAAAGACACTCAATAAGCGGAATTGGGGAATCATTTTGAATCTATTCAAAGGATTAACTTTGAACTTAAATGACCTCAATTTGCATAATAAGACAATATGAAAAATAAAGAGAATCAAGGATAAGAGAAATTATCTATGCTTTGAACATGAACGCTTCATTCTTCAAAATATTGGTGAATCAAAGCTAAGCTCTTTACTACATTGTTTTGTTCTTTATTAGTACTCAAATCATACTTAATTTTTATAGAGAATGAAATTTTCTCTTTCTAGATTATTGCGGACAGATGAAATCGTTAACCTTTCGAATGCAGATGATTTTTTAAAGAGATTTACTTTTACGAGTATAGATCAATCTTCTAATGGTCATATGTCTCATATTTGTTACATTATTCATTCTGTTTCAAGAATTAATTTTTTTTTTTGAATTCGAAGGATGCAATTTTGAAAGAATACAGTACTCTCGTGAGTAATGTGCAACAGATCTCTATGAACAAAGTTCTCATAAATATTTTAAAATGGTTGAGAAGTGAAAATTATGAAAGCCTTTTGTGTAAAAGTCAGAAATGAATTGACAATTTGTATGATGTTGGAAAAAGAGCGGTATATTAAGAAGGTAATAAATTTAAGAGTACTCAGTGAATTCAATACACGCATCACTAACGAACACAAGCACGGCTCACATCTGTGTAACACATTTTCACGTTGTTGATAACTTCCCACCATTTGAGATGCTATGATTTAATGTCTTATTCCAGATTATTATGAAAGCTTTTTGCATAAATTTGAGTGTCATTAACAGAATCCTACAGTTTGAAGAAAGTTCATTTTCAGATATTATACAGGAAATAACTGAAAGTTCAATCGTACAATGGCTACTGAGCCTTATAATATTTCTTAGAATTACAGTAACGCGTCTGACCCGTAATTATCTGATTATGGGGAGTAATCCGTCGTCGAGGATGGCTCACTTCTGAACAAGGAAGAGAAACTCATCGCAGTAGCGATCACAAATCCCGCTTCCCACTGTGTTCAGCCAAGCAAAAAAAGAAAGGAAACAATATTCAAATTAATTGTGGCAAGCTAATTAGTGATGGGCGTACAATGAAAGCAACCCATTAATAAATAAAATTTTAATTATCATTACGATTAGAATTACTTCCATCTTTTGTGATAATAAAAATTCTGAAAAACTGCGGACTAAGAGCTCGATTTATTAAACCAAAAACAGTAGAGCATTAGATTTTATACTGGATAAACTAAATAGAATTGGAATTAAATGGATAATTTTAATATGCTTTTAAGGAGTTGCATCGTTTTCTAAATTTTAAATTCATGGATGAAAATCTTAGGATACAAACTAACCGGTTCAATGAAAGCTGTAAGTTGAAAGAAACAAAGATCTATCACTTTTAAATAATTTAAGAAAGGAAATGAGAAAAGAAAACAAGATAAAAATGTTACGTATTTTTCTTCTCATGAAAAAAGGTTTTATACATAGTACTTGACCTAAGAAAAAAAATATTTAAAGTTAGTAAAATCTGGTGAGAAAAGTGATTGTCGAGTTAAAAGGAATACTACAAAAGGAACACTATTGGATTAATTAGGTGATGAACAACGGTAAAAAACAAGTAAAAAAGAATGCATGAGAGGGTCGGGAAGTTAATTTGTCGGCCTAATGTTTTACAAAAATAATATGATTTCTTCTAAAACATAAACACAAGAAGTCGAGAGAGATAAAAAGATAACAATCTGACTATTATAATTATTGCCATTGTATTTGACACATGTTTTTTCTACTTGTCTGCTACATATGTCCAGATATTTGTTATGAATGCCTGAATGGAATCATGTTGTAATGAAATCAACCCAAAAATTATCCGAATGAGTAGAGTTACCGTGTCCTTTGTGAAGTACCGACCTATTTCGTTCAGTACTCACATGACACGAAATATGTTCTGGTTCCCTCCTGACTTGAATATTTTCCTGCCGTTTTCATTGTTTCCATATCACATCCTTGCGGCAATGGAAAAAGGAATGAAAACGAAGGAGTGGCGGCTTCTCGGTTAAGAGGATACACTTCAAAGAAGGTCTTAAAATAATTGGATAAAAATGATGGTCTTCTGCTAACCGTATTCTTAAATTCTCAAGAATCAGGAACGTAATATGAGATGTTCATTCTAACATAGTAGTGTATAGAAAAGGTGAGAAAAGATACTATATGAATCTTTTTTTATTACAGGTTCTGTTAGAATATTCTTTCTGTAAGCATTATGAAAGTTATTTTTAATAACGGCTATGTTGAATTTTAATTTTTAGAGAAAGGTTAAAGCAACTTACTTATTCCATGAACTCTTTCTACTTGTCTTTTATCATTACTATGGACCAAATTCTGTTCTTGAGCAATTGAGGAGCGAATTGTTGACAACCAAGGTTGAAGCCATGAATTATGTGCTGACTGTTGTAAGACACCTTTAAATTTTTTATATATTTTTATTTGAATTTTAAGTTTCTCTTCTTTCTATATACATATAACATATCTTTGTTGTAAAAAGGGAAGTCCATTACTTTAAAATTACGGTTAGTTTCATTAGAAAATTGAATTTTTGAATAACTTATAGTTGCACAGTTACCGGCATGAAGATATCGTGGTAACTGAGAATTGATGTATGGTGATGCTTCATCATTAATGTTCGTTACTGCAGGAAGAGAAATGGAGACAATTTCCTTTCCCGTAGTAGGAGTTGTGATATCGGCTTTTGGGGCTACTCTCCTAAATATTTTAAATTGCATTGGTAAGTTAAACCGGCTAAACACTCACTGGAAGATACTATACTGATGCACATTGAAGAAAACTCAAATCTTATGCTAATACAAAGGAATTCTCCAGACTGTTGAGAAACTGCTGAAATGATAAGATTAATTTTGAGTATTCTCAAATTTCATAGCGTTCGGAAAATATCCTTAGGTACACATAAAGCTATTTCAGGAAGAAATAGTTTCAACTTTTCTGATAATCTAATTTATGTGTGCTGAATATTTCTTATATGCAAAATGGTGGTAATGATGCAGTGAAAATGCGTCATTATAATAATTATTATTATTGGGATGAAGCGATAACGAGCACACATATATGGAATTCGCCAGTTAATGCGGCTGAGTGTTACTCTATTGGAATAGCGGTGTTAGCAGTTAGCTCAAATTTACAATTGAGAATTGATAGGTCATTTTACCGATAAATAAAGACTCAGAATTATTGTAAAAAATTTTTCTTTATTTTCTTATCTAACTCGAATTTTCTTTCTCTATCTCTTGCTGCAGTAAGGGATATGCTTACCAAATAAAAAACTTCATTTTTCATGTGATAGCAAATAAAGAATTAACAAAGTTTGCGAGTCAACAGTTAAATAAATTTTTAAAAGAAAATATAGGAAAATCTTTTTTTTTCATGTTTACGCATTCTTGGATATAGGTAAACACTTCAATTACGTGTTGGTACGACTTGTTGAATGCTTGTCGCTCAATATATCCGAGATCGAAAATCGACATCGATTTCTTTTCGTTCCTTCTAATGGACTATTGCTTCTTTCCTGATGATCACCTAAAATTGTGCAGCTGATAGATAAAAGAAAATAAAGCGTATTTAATTAGCTTGAAAATTTGTCAAGCATTATGATTTCGATTTCAAGCTAAAATTTGAATAACATTGCAACATACTTGGGGTAGATTTAACAGTTTCTTCTGTTGTATTATGAATTTTGCTTTGGTCGAAACGTATCAAATGCTGAACTTCGCATTCATCATCGCACTTGCTACTCTCATTATCCGCCATCAGTTCCAGTTGCGCACCAAATTCTATGAGGCCAAAACTCAAAAAATGTAGTTTTGACAGACAATTTCAAAAAACAACAATATTTTTGTCGTTCTGAATTTTCTACAAATTCAAACATTTGGAAAATCAGGACGATCAATACAAGACAATATATAAAATTTGCATATTTGTAACCATTTTTCTCTTTAACATCTGTTTTGAAGGTTAATTAATTTCATTCATTCAGGTCTCCTGACAATTATAAAGAAATATGCTTTTGAAGTTTATAGAAATGTTAATGGATCAAAAATGCCAAAAAATATGCGAATTGATTAAATGGAGGCACTACAAAAATTATAAGATCAGTTAAAGCCGAAAAATAGATGACCAACGCAATTGATGCGCATCCAATTTTGTTTAGAAAGGGAAGAATTGAAGCTGTGATGTATTGCTATTTTTTACCTTTACCACCAACAAAAAGACTGGATTTAAGTGAATTTGACTGGATCAAGAAGAAAAATGAGTACTTCTTGTGTCAGCAGTAATGATGGGGCAGTAACAGGTAATTAATTGATACCTTGGCATCGTGAGGATTGAATACATTAGTGTAGCAGATCACTGGTAAGCAATTAAAACAGGCGATTCAGATTAATCTCCCAGTCTATGACTTAATCAGCCTTTTACACTTAACTTGTATCCAGGTGTAAAAAGCAATACCAATACTAGTATAGAATTCGAGTCATAATAAGAAATTTATAACTCATTCAAAATGTAGAACAAAAACATTTTTTTCAACATTTAATTTAACAAGATCAGCCCTACAAAATGCTTTGATCAGAACTGCACAGACCATCTGGCTTTTAAGCTCTTTCACTTTTTGTTCAAACTCTTTTTTCTTGAGTGCCTCATAATACAGTACTTTAAGCTTTCTAAAATGCCATACTTTTCAAAGTTCATTTAAACTTAAACTTTTGGTGATTATTTGCAAATATTACAGTCTATACAATGTTTAGCATTAGAGAATAACAGTATATTAAGTTACGATAGTTTTTTGGAAACTTTTTTGAAAAGTACTTTATATAAACACTGGTTATGCCACACAATGAAATGTTTTTAACTTTGATTTTAAAAATTTCCAAATAAATTTTTTTTTTTTTAATTTTGGATTTCTTCCTCACATGAACTAACTGGAAATTATTATCATTGGCTTTTTTCAATAAGCCATGCCCTCTATACCTGATAAGACTGCACAAGTACAGTACATATTATGTTAACAGTTGAACATTATAACGGGGTAGCAGTTTTCCAGAACCATAATAGATTGGAGAACCACTTTTATAAAAACCAAACAAACATATGCACATAGAGTTCCAAATCGCATCTTCAATTTTTTATTACAGAAAACTTTCAGGGAGCTAGGCAAAAGGGCAACAAATTTCAAAAATTAGATGTGCAATAATCAATAGGTAGTAGTTTTATCTGAAAAGTTACCAACTGAAAAAAAAAAAAGGAATGTTAGAAAACAAAAAGGAAGAATTTTAAGAAAACAGATGAATAAATGGACGAATAGAAAGAAGAAAACGAATTCCCGAATTACTACGAGTCAATTTTGTGCTCAGAAGATTTCAAGTCAAGAATTAATCTCGAAAGGAAGTGAAAGAAAATGTCACCACTCTGTTCACATTGTTAACGGGTGGGACTTATTGAAGTTCCGGGCGTGGCTTTCATATTTCATTCGTCGGGGCTATTACAAATGCATTATACTCATACCATGGATTGGATAATGGATGATTATGAGAAAAGGTTGTCAAATTTAGCAGCAAATTTCGAAACTGAATTCAGTTTTTGATTTCCAAATTCAAATTCATTTAAAATTTATTTGTTATTTTATAGTGCTATCTAACAAAATTTGGCATCAATTTCTTAAAACATAAGTGTTTTTCTATGCATCTTTTTAAACTATTTGTTATCTGAATTCTTTCGATATATCGTTGTGCAAACTCGAATTGTTTCTATGATTGCTTGAAGAGATAATTGTGATCAGTTCGACAGAAGCCATCACATTATTCAAAAGCACTGATGATAAGATTAGCCAGATTCAAATTTTGACTAACTTGTTTTACGTAATAAATTTGATTTTGACAAGTTTATCGAGTAATTAACTATTCACTATTATTCCTAAAAATAAATGATCACTTCATCTTATACAACTATTTTTTCTGGGTAGCGTAAAAGAAATATTCATAAGATATTTTTGTCATATTGAAGCTCTTACTACAGTAAAGGAACATAATAATAAATGAAAAATAAAACAAATTAATGCAACATAATTGATCGGTAGTTGTAATTATTATAGTTTATTTACACAATCATACTTAAAGCGCTTCAACAAACAAATCGTTTTCGGACATCGAGATAGTGGTCAATATCACTTCATATCCTCCATATTAATGCAAATGAACCAATGAGAAAATGTCATTGCGTGTGAGCTATTTATTAGGAACGTTTTCTGTGGACATCATTAGTAGTTGACAAGTGTTTTAGATTTAAATTCTCGATTTCACTTTAAAAAAATTCAAAAATTTTTGGTTAATAAATTATAGCAGCATCGAGATTTCTTTTTTTTTTTTGAACTATAAGGAGTTCTACTATTTTTCATGCAACTCAAATATTTTTGATACATTCCCAGAAAATTTTTTATTAGTGTTGATAATTATTTATCATAGAAAGCTCTTTCTCAGATAGCTTTCAAATTGGAACAAATTGGCATGTTGTGCATTCATCACTCAGTTTGTACAAATCACTTAATAGATCATTATTGGCTTTAAACGATAACTATTTTGCTGGTTTTATAGATGCTTATAGATATTAATAAGAGATATAAATGCTTAAATTTCACCTTCATACTACTAAATTATTAACAAATGAAAAAAGATAAAAGATGAAAAATCTGAAATTCATGGGACATAGCATAAAGATGAGAGTTTAAAATTTAAGGAAATATAATTATAAATTGTATGATAACTGCATAATAACTTTTTTGCAAATTTCATCAATCATTTTATTTTGTAAATTTGAATCAGGCAAAGTAAAAACAAATTTTACAGTGGTATTGGACGAGCAATAGATAGAAATGAGTGAATCGGCATACATAGCTAAATATTTTCATAATGAAATTGCTTTTGAACGTGGAAAAAAAACGTCAAAAATTTTTTTTGAACTGGTTCATCTGTCATCAAGTCATTTTCCTAGAGGGCTAATTTAAAATGGTTTTTAAGCGTCGGTAATGGTAAATCTGCTGCAATTAATGTGTTCATCAATCAAATATGTGGTCCGGATAATTGTTTTTTAAAATTGGATTTGGAATTGAAAGTGAATATTTATTTTGTGTAAAAGTCAAGGAATTTTGAAAAAAATAATGGGCAAATACAAATGGGAGCATAACAGATAACTAGAAGTTTGTGATTGCAGTTAAGTGAATGGAACGTCGAAGCAATTAGTTGCAAATGCCTCAGGCTACCTGATATATTACCTCTACTTAATTCGGTTTTGTAACTTCAATCTTCATTGGTTCGCGCTATCTTACAATTATTTATGTCAGTACTTTTTTTGCAATCAATCAAATCTATCCATTTCAGAGTTCTTTATCGCTCTTCAATTTAATGGACATTTCAAAATTTTTTAAATTCGTAAAGATTTTCGAACTGTTAGGAAAATTAGATCATAGTGTTAATAGAGAAATATTGGTTTCCTGAAGTCTATTTAATTCCCAATTTTATTGTCGTGATGAAGAATTAATGAAAAGATATATATTAATAGTAAATATTTGACTGAAACATACATCATATTAGATTTATACTAGATTTACCGTATTATGGTAAGAAACAACGGCAAGGAGTGGAAGGAGTTGAAAACTGGAAGAGGAAGAGGAAAATCAAACATCCAGAAAGAAAAACACAGAAAGAAAGAAAAATACGGGGGAAGGAAATTAAAGGCTGCTATGCAAAAGGAGACGTTTGGGTAGATATAGTGGCGAACACACTGAAACCAATTATATAATTCGATCATGTTAATTTAACACATTAAAAGATCATTTAGTTGAGCTGACTTCTTAAGCTTCCAGTAGCCTTCTCTTCGTACTATTTCTTTCTATCATTCTAGACTTTCTAATAATGTAGTAATGGCAACATTATATTCCTATAAGCAATAGCGATTTGATTAAAATCATTATATTGAGATTGTGATGATACAGCAGTAAGGTACATCATTTAGAACGGGCGTTTACTGTCAGTTTATTTTACCCTCTCACTTCATCTAGTACTGGTTTAGAATCATATTTATTGAATCACTTGAATACATTGGAGGTACCGTTTTTTTAGATTTCTCGTATTACTTTTCTGCTTGAGATTCTTTTGTTTTTTATGAGACTGTGAATAACTTGAAACGAAAAAAAAAATCTGAATAACCAGATAGCAAAAAATGAGTTTTCTTTTCCTCGGAACTATCTAAGATTTGAGCGATTCTTGTGCTCTAAACAAGAAAAAATGATGAAAAGCGACTGAAATTAGTCCGCAGAAGTGAGTGCAATCTGAAAAATGTTTATGTTCGCACACTAGTGACGATAGTTAAGTAAGTCGAGGATATTCTAATTTAGCTGATGGGTTCAGCCTCTAAGATGTCATGTCGAATCAAATTCGAGCTGTTTGCTATGTCTGCATCTGAGTGTAAGCTTAATTATTGTCATCACTACGTTCCCGTCACGATGACTCCCTTCTTGAACTAATGGTAATGGAATTCTGTATATCACAAATTATCCAGATGATGGATGTTTTGATGTTCTCCTCAGTACTTTGAATCCCAAAACCTTTCAACTGAAAATTCATCATTATCCAGGGAATTTATTGGAAAAAAAAAGGTCATTTTCGGATACATACACAATATATTTGCAAGAAGGCAACGTTATACGAACTATCTTTGAAAGCCATCTTAATGTCTAATTAGTAATTCAAGAAATATCAAGTAATCGTAACCTTTATATAATAAATAGCAAACCTATTTACTGTTACTGAATTCTTTCTGTATTGTCCTGATTATGAAAGTCAACAAAATAAACAGAATCTTACCAACAGTGGGATTTAGCCTTGCACAGCATGACCGATCAGAAGATAACTCGATTAACCGGTAAAACGGAAAATTTGCTAGCATAAACAAACAGACACATACAGTATGTAATACTTACACATACAAAGTATTTCTTCAAACACAATTTTTGTTCCTGAGAATCTTATTTCCGTACGCTATATATATATATATATATATATATATATATATATGCAGGAAAGTGAAAAAAGATGAGATCATTTATTTGCTTCATCTTGGAATGGTACTTTATAGGAATACTTCGGGTGATAAGGAGTGTCTCTCATCTGCGACTCTTATTGCGTTCACTTCGACAAATTCGCCTTTTCAGGAGATTTTCCTGTTTATTCTAAAGATTGTGGATCAAAATCTGTCTCTGCATGTAACTTCTCAAGAATTTTCCGTTCCACTAGCCAAAAATCGAACATTAGCCTCTAACCAAGCCTTACAATAAACACTACTGTGCCACCTCAATTTCCAAGTATTATCAAAGTTTTGTATATGAGACATTCGTTTTCCTATCACCACAGATAGTGTAGTGTGTTACTCTGATGGGTTTGGTTTCATAGCGTTTCATAACGTGGCACGTGGACGTGGGGAGGATGGAGGTGTTCCGGTTGGGGTGTTAGGGAAGTTAGTCGTCGTGGTGATACGTAATCCCTTGATCACGATGGAGGGGATTTACTCTTATACGATCAGATGAGGTAAACTAGATCACTTAATAATAGTTGCAGTAAGCTTGTATTAGGTATGCAATAAAGGTGACATCAGTAATTTTGCGCTTTTTTTTTTCTATTTAATTTATTCCACTTTAGGTTCAAATGCCGGCGATTTACAACTTCAAAAAGATTACAGCCGTTCCATCCGCTGCAGTGAGTTAATTGTTATTGAAGGTTGATAGTTATTCAAATGATATAATATCGAATTTATTTTAAGTATGATGTGGAAAAGAAAAAAGTTCTGTATAGTTTTTGATTACACTCAAGATTTTAGCAGAAGTGAAATCCTGTGAAGCGCAGATTTGTTTTTCAGGATTTAAAGGAGATTGTTCTTTCCAAAACACAAAGAAAAACACCGACCGTGATTCGCCGTCACTTTGCAATTAGCCGGATCCGATCATTTTATACACGGAAGATTAAATTTTTGCAGCAGGTTTTACACGATAAATTGACTCAGATTATTGATGAATTTCCAAAAATGGAGGTGATTTTTACTTATCGCTTCTTTGGCTTCCTGTTTTTTATCCTGGTCATAGCTATAAATCTCTATGCTAAATTACATTAGTATGAATTGAAGCGAATTACAAAAATGCCGATTTCCGAATTTTTACAGAACAGTGTGGGATATTTTCAGGAGGTTCATCCATTTTATGCCGATCTTATGAACATTTTATACGATAAGGACCACTACAAGATTGCTTTAGGACAAATGAACATGGCTCGTCATTTGATCGATGGGTAATTTTTAACAATTCTTATTATCATCGCGTTGAAGTTCCAGTTGAGCTCATCTACGATGACTGAAATATGAATTATAGATGAAAAATGTTTCAGTATTGCACGAGAATATGTTCGTCTAATGAAATATGGCGACTCGTTATATCGTTGTAAAATGTTAAAGCGTGCAGCACTTGGACGAATGGTAAAGCTATTAAAAAGGCAGAAATCAAGTTTTGATTATTTGGAACAGGTGCGACAACATCTTTCTCGTTTGCCAACAATTGATCCAAACACAAGGTACGAGGGAGTTAGTTTTTTTTTTTTTTTTTTTTTTTTGGCGATAATCTATAATTAAAAAAAAGATATTATCGACGATGGAGTGCAAAAAAAGTTTACATTGTTAATCTTGGATTTTAGGACATTAATATTGTGTGGTTTTCCAAATGTCGGTAAATCGTCATTGATGAATTTGTTAACACGTGCTGACGTTGAAGTACAGCCTTATGCATTTACCACTAAAGCTCTTTATGTCGGACATCTTGATTATAAATATCTTCGTTGGCAGGCAAGTGCTAATACTGATCGTTTTTCCGAAAGATTTGTCTCTAATTATTTTTGAACGAGTTTCAAATTTCAAAGATAGAAGTTTGTAAGACTAGAAAAAATCGTATTGTTTTGAAAGAAAATGTGTTACAGTTGTAATCTGAGATATATTTGGACTATCATAACTGAGTAATTTTAGGTTATTGATACACCTGGTATTTTGGACCAATCTTTGGAAGAACGTAATACAATTGAGATGCAAGCAATCACTGCACTTGCACATTTGCGTGCTGCAATTTTGTTCATCATGGATATAAGTGAAACATGTGATCATACAATTGAAGAACAGGTATAAATCTAATTCGATATAATATTTATGCAACGTTTGTTAGAAATGTTAACTCTATATGGGCTTTTCAGGTAGCATTATTTGAAAGTATTCGTCCATTATTTGTGAATAAACCAGTATTGATTGGATTAAATAAGGTGGATATTGTAAGGCGAGATGAACTAAAGCAGGAGAAAATGGAACAGCTGAAAAGATTAGAGGACGATTCTACATCTATGTTTGAACTTAGCACAGTAACACAAAAGGGAGTCATGGATTTCAGAAATACAGTATTTTTTTTTTTTTTGTTTCTTTGTTACATTTCTATTGTATTGAAGTATTTTACAGCATAAAGATTGTGCAACGCTAAAGTAGAGTCGAAAACTATTTAAGGAAATTTTATCAAGTGAAAGAAACATTAATGCTAGTTGGTTGAATGAATTCTAATAGCGCGAATAAATCTATCGAAATATGACAATTGTGAAGTACTTATTGACCTTAAACAAGCGTATGATAAAAATCAATGTTAGTCAAAAAGTTGATATTGGTGCAGAAAAAAGTTTGTTTTTAGTTTAGATCGTATGCATCACTTTGCTTATGTTTAAGTAGTTATTTAAAATTCTCTTCTTCAGAAACATAGCACGAATTTTTTAAATATTATTTAAAACGTAAGAAAAAGTTGCCATGTGATTTCTGTTTGGAAAAGAAAATGATGTTTTACCGTTTAGGCATGCAATCATCTTTTGACACAACGTGTTGAAAGTAAACTGCAGTCGAGGAAGTTAGCAATTGAAGATGGTGTGTTAAGCCGTGTTTTTGTTGCTTACCCTATTCCGAGGGATGACAAAGTATGTCCATTTTTTGTAGAATTTAAAGGTTTTGTAATTTGTTATTTTCACTGTCACCGGTCACTGTTGGATTTCAGGTACGTGCACCACATATACCGGAAGCAGTTGTGACGAAAAAATTTTTTGGCAGTAATAATCCTAATGAGGAGAAATTTAGGAAAATACGAAAATTAGAACGCCAGATTGAACTGGAAATGCAGGACGAATACATACTTGATTTAAAAAGTAAATTTTCATTCAATTAATGCATCTTTTTTTTTTTTTTTTCTTATCTATTTTGATAATCGTCAGAGTTTGCATATTGATAAATTTACGTAGGTTACAAGGCTATGATGTTAGCTCAGAATAAATGACAAAAAGTTGTTTTATATATAATTAATGCAACTATATTTCTACTTCTTGTAGAGCATTATTTACTAAAGAATGATGAAGAAAAATACGATGTTGTGCCCGAAATATGGGAAGGACATAATATCTCCGATTTTATTGCATCAGATGTTAGAGATATGTTAAAGTCAATCAGGAAAGAGGAAGAAGCAAAAATTCAAGCTGGGTATGAGATTTTTTCATTTTATTAAGGAATTCATATTTATTTTTGCTCTTACACAACTTTTATCAACGTTAGAGGCATTTTGGTATAGTTATAAAAAGTTATGTTTTAGGTACTATGATGATGGTTTGGTCTTGGATGATGATGAAACGAAGAAATTGTTTGAAAATGCCGGAAAAATTATGGAGAAAGAGAGTCGGCTAAAAATGGTATAATGAAAAGTTTTTAGTATTGTCTTTTACATTAGTTCAACTATTGCTGTAATCTTAACTCGTTAAGTGATTTATTTAAATCTTAGAATTGCAGATTTCACAAGCCAAAAAAAGTATCACGAAGCCACGTTTAAGTCGTTCTGTTGCAAGAAAACGGGATAGAACTATGGCATGTTTAGAAGAACAATTTCGTGAACTTGGTGCTAACATTGATCCATCGCAGTTGAAAAATTTGGCTAAGGAACAGCTAAAAGAACCTACTATCAAAAAAATACGGGTGGGAAAGAGTCCAGGCTTGGTTGCTAGTCGACCACCAAGTCGTGATATCCGGGGTATAAAGAATGATGAAGTTAGCGATTTTTCTTTTTTTGAATTTGTATGCATTTAATAATGGTGAGCTAAAGATCAGCATTACTGCGAAAGATGCTCAAATATGTAACCTCATTTCTTTAAGATAAGGCTAACATATATATGTTCGTGAACTTGGTGCTAACATTGATGTTGGTAGGGTGAAGTTAGTGAAGAATTCTGCTTAAATTAGTTAACGAAATTTAATTTAGGTACGAGAGATAACGAAGAAAGTTGGACGAAAGAAACAGAGGAATTTACAATACGAAGCAAGGAAAGGTGAAGCTGACAGGCATATCTTTGTCAAGCGTCCGAAGCATTTGTTTTCTGGCAAGCGTGGACTTGGGAAAACAGATAGACGGTAAATTTGAAGTACTGCTGAATTTGTTACTGTATCGTTAATATGTAGTAATTATCAAAAAACCCTGTTCGGCTGAATTTGAACTGATTTTGTTATCTGTTACACTGTTTGTTTTATCGCCATGCTTAATGATGTTAAGCCTGTGTTTTACTGCATTTCTGGTACAGTAGTTAATTGTTTGAAAGTAAAATTTGTTAATATATTGTATTTCCTCTACATTCATTTTGTACAAGTAACACATCGAAATACTTATTTTACACCTTAATTTTGATAACTTTAGTGGTAGCTTATCAGTATATCATTATGGACCAATCGTTTGTTAATCTTCTTAGGGCTGATTTAATTCTCGACGTTAATAAGTTTTTGAGGTCATCTAATTGCGGATTTTACCCATTTTTCCAAAATTCATCCAGTTATTTGAGAATTTCAGTCTTGCTTGCTGTTTTAAATATGTTAGAATATTCATTGTTTGCAAAGAATAACACTTGGACTGGTTTTCTTTTCTTTTTTTTTTGAGAGAGAGAGAGAGAGAGACAGAGTTTGATGATACATGAGGAGAAATTGGTGGGCAGAAATAATATGATTTCATCCAAGCAGGGAGATGTCGATTACAGTGAAGAAGTGGAAACTTTGGTGACAATATTTGTTAGTTTTATTTTGTGTTATAATTATAGTGTGATGAATGGATGGAGTATAATATTGTATTGATTAGATGGGAGTTCGGTAATTAACCGTCCAGTAATGAATTAAGTTGTAGTTAAAATCGCAACAGCCAACTGTTGTTGGATTTAAGTGACCTTAAGTTTAGTCTTTCTAAATATTTCTCAACAGTTTGTTGTTTTGGCAGAAAAAACAGCATCGTCCATGGCGAAATAAAGTTCGGAAGAAAGCTGCTAAGGAAGCGAAAAGAAAACTGAAGAAAGAAAATGGTAAAATTATATGTATATATAATTTATATAAGGTGTCGTCAAAGAGCCATTAAATGCAGAGCTGTACGAATACTTTTCTTCTTGCATTTATTTGTTCTTTTAGGTAATGAATACACCATCTCTTCAAGTGATGTGCAAATAATGAGAAAAAAGAGGAGAAGTAGAGTTAAGAGGATCAACTCTAACGGTTCAACTGAAAATGGCGCAATGAATAGACAAGAAATAAATGATAGAGAAGGGATTGGTTCCTCACTATTTCGATATATCAACGAGCAGTTATATACTATGAGTGGTGCGAAAGCTATGGAACTATTTCGAAAGGATCCACAGGCTTTTAAATTGTACCACAAAGGATATCAGAAACAGGTTTGCTAATGAGAATCATATGGAATTAATGCACAAATACTTGTGTCAATATATAATGTAAAAATTTTGTTGTTTAATAATTTATCCACCTCGATGAAAAGGATGCTAATTGTTTGAATACAAAGTACGATGTAGTTAATTTAATAGCTGATATGCTGTAGAGGTATTCCCGCAGTGATATAGTAAATCTATTGTATTTGGAAAAAATTAAACTTTAGGCAATTATGCATGTTTAGAAAATGAGAATGGTATCTGAGGTTATTAAAGGGATCATTTATAGGCAAACAAATGGCCTTTTAATCCAGTTCGCATCATTATTCAATGGATAAAATCATTGAAGCATAATGGCTTAGTGATTGCTGATTTGGGATGTGGAAATGCAACAATTGCTGATGCACTGTCACATATAGCCACTGTACATTCATTCGATTTGGTTGCTGTGAATGATCGCGTTGTGGCGTGTGACATGTCCATGGTATGTTTGATCATGAGAATATTGGTTTTATTGGTATAAGTAGTGTATAATAGGGGCTAGTAGTATAATAGTTTTCATTAATCTTCTATTATTGGGCATCTTTAAATTCATTACCAATTTATCGCTAACGTATAGCAATATTACGCTTCACTTATTTTGCATTGAGCTGTTAGAAAAGAAGGCAATAATAATAAGTACACTATCCTCAACAAGTACAAACTTTAAAAGTTGAAATTGTTGCTTTAATTTAAAAGTTATCCCAGTGAGCATGATAAGACTTATGATGAAAAAAATATAACCTTAGATCATCAGAGTGATTCGAAGCACATAACAAGTTAATATCAGGAGCAACTTTGAAAGTAGTTTCAATTATGTGAACATGCTCTAGACTCATCTAACTGTGTTCCTAATTCAACCTTTTTTCTAGCTGAAGTTTGTTTCCATTGATAAATAGTTTTGTGTAGGTCCCACTGTGTAATGAATCGGTGGATATTGTTATTTTTTGTCTTTCATTGATGGGGACTAATTTGAACGAATATTTGATAGAAGCGAATCGAATATTGAAGAAAGGGTTTGTTATCGCTTCATATATTTTTAAATAATAACGTGAAAGTTTAATGCAGATTTGTCCTTCAAATTAATCATTTTTTTAAAAGAATCTGACTAATGTCTCTTTTCAGTGGTTTTTTGAAAATAGCCGAAATTGCGAGTCGATTTATAAGCTTAAAACGGTTCATTCACGCCGTAGCAAAAATGGGATTTGCTATTACTGGAAAGGTTCGTTGTTATTATATAGCGCCTGGATGATGAAAAAGAGTTTAATAGCAGTAATACATTTCAAATAGTACACTTGTTATTTATTGAAAGATTTCTAGATGATGAAAGATGGTGGTTATTTTGTAATTTTGGAATTTATGAAAACTGGTAAAGTGGTGCAGAAACGACCTATTGGATTAATATTGAAGCCTTGTTTGTATAAAAAGCGGTAATCCTTAAATTCTATGATGTTTGTCAGTGTGCTCTGTTTAATTATGATCAAAATTCGCTGCACTACAGGATACCTTGTTAGTAAATTTATAGTGATTTTGGAATACCGTCGAATTGTATAACACTGATGTGTTGTTAGTCTATTTTTATTGCTTTATATTCGTTACCTCTTTCCATAGTATAACGGATTTTTCTAGAATTTATCCATTATCTCTGTGATTTATTACGAATATTCTTTGTGTTGTAAATGAAAATTACTGCGAAAGATACTTTGCTGGGATACTGTCACGAAATAATATCGGATTGGAGTAATTTGTAGAGCCGAAAAGGAGGTACTTTGCAAAAATGATATGGTTGAGGTTAATATTTATTTTATTAAGAGGGAGATTATCGCTGATTCAAGTTATTTAAAAAATATATGCGAACTTACTGTTTCAGCTTCTGAGCCGAGACTTTAGGTCTTCTCAAATAGATAGATAGATAGATAGATAGATTAGATAGATTAGATAGATTAGATAGATTAGATAGATTAGATAGATTAGATAGATTAGATAATTAGATAGATTAGATAGATTAGATAGATTAGATAGATTAGATAGATTAGATAGATTAGATAGATTTAGATAGATTAGATAGATTAGATAGATTAGATAGATTAGATAGATTAGATAGATTAGATAGATTAGATAGATTAGATAGATTAGATAGATTAGATAGATTAGATAGATAGATTAGATAGATAGATTAGATAGATTAGATAGATTAGATAGATTAGATAGATTAGATAGATTAGATAGATTAGATAGATTAGATAGATTAGATAGATTAGATAGATTAGATAGATTAGATAGATTAGATAGATTAGATAGATTAGATAGATTAGATAGATTAGATAGATTAGATAGATTAGATAGATTAGATAGATTAGATAGATAGATATAGATAGATTAGATAGATATAGATAGATAGATAGATAATAGATAGATAGATAGATAGATAGATAGATAGATAGATAGATAGATAGATAATAGATAGATAGATAGATAGATAGATAGATAGATAGATAGATAGATAGATTAGATAGATAGATAGATAGATTAGATAGATAGATAGATAGATTAGATAGATAGATAGATAGATAGATAGGATAGATAGATAGATAGATAGATAGATAGATAGATAGATAGATAGATAGATAGATAGATAGATAGATAGATTAGATAGATAGATAGATAGATTAGATAGATAGATAGATAGATTAGATAGATAGATAGATAGATTAGATAGATAGATAGATAGATTAGATAGATAGATAGATAGATAGATAGATAGATTAGATAGATAGATAGATAGATTAGATAGATAGATAGATAGATTAGATAGATTAGATAGATAGATAGATAGATTAGATAGATAGATAGATAGATAGATTAGATAGATAGATAGATAGATTAGATAGATAGATAGATAGATTAGATAGATAGATAGATTAGATAGATAGATTAGATAGATTAGATAGATAGATAGATTAGATTAGATAGATTAGATAGATTAGATAGATTAGATAGATAGATAGATAGATTAGATAGATAGATAGATAGATTAGATAGATAGATAGATAGATAGATAGATAGATTAGATAGATAGATAGATAGATTAGATAGATAGATAGATAGATAGATTAGATAGATAGATAGATAGATTAGATAGATAGATAGATAGATTAGATAGATAGATTAGATAGATAGATAGATAGATTAGATAGATAGATAGATAGATTAGATAGATTAGATAGATAGATAGATAGATTAGATAGATAGATAGATAGATAGATTAGATAGATAGATAGATAGATTAGATAGATAGATAGATAGATTAGATAGATAGATAGATAGATTAGATAGATAGATAGATTAGATAGATAGATAGATAGATTAGATAGATAGATAGATAGATTAGATAGATAGATAGATAGATTAGATAGATAGATAGATATAGATTAGATAGATAGATAGATAGATTAGATAGATAGATAGATAGATTAGATAGATAGATAGATAGATTAGATAGATAGATAGATAGATTAGATAGATAGATAGATAGATTAGATAGATAGATAGATAGATTAGATAGATAGATAGATAGATTAGATAGATAGATAGATTAGATAGATAGATAGATAGATTAGATAGATAGATAGATAGATTAGATAGATAGATAGATAGATTAGATAGATAGATAGATAGATTAGATAGATAGATAGATAGATTAGATAGATAGATAGGATAGATAGATAGATTAGATAGATAGATAGATAGATTAGATAGATAGATAGATAGATAGATAGATAGATAGATAGATAGATAGATAGATAGATTAGATAGATAGATAGATAGATTAGATAGATAGATAGATAGATTAGATAGATAGATAGATAGATTAGATAGATAGATAGATAGATAGATAGATTAGATAGATAGATAGATAGATTAGATAGATAGATAGATAGATTAGATAGATAGATAGATAGATTAGATAGATAGATAGATAGATTAGATAGATAGATAGATAGATAGATTAGATAGATAGATTAGAAAATCCTGTTGCATATAAAATTCAATTAAAATGGGCAGGAAATGTGCTTGTGATCAACAAAGAAAACTGTGTTAAGGAAGATTTGATTAGCATAACAATTGAAATACGATTGATTATCAGATCAGAGACATTGCATGTGGTTTGGTTTGAACATTAAAGATAAGCATGGTTGTGATAAAGATGAGAATTTAGTTAAAAGATTCGTGATAAACAAAAAAAAGATAGAAAATTCATCATGTTGACCATGGTAACATTTAATTAGTCGTATTTTGTGTGGTGAATCATTTGGGTGAAATTTTCCAACACAAGTTTTTTTGGTTATTTAGCCATATTTGTTATAATTTATTTTGAGTTTCACGACAGATACCACTCCGTAGATTATATTGATTGATAATTCATCAACAAGAAATTTTCCGAAAAAGAATTGATGACATTGAATTGAATATGCTTCTTTCCATTCAGAATAATAATTTTTATAAGTAAGAAAGAAAGTATATTTTCAGTTTCTTCTTTGTGGTAGTAAGTGAAAAATTGTGTAAAATGAGTACAACAGTTTCAGCACTGAAACTGTAAGACGATCACGCAGGTACATATCCTTCTGTCACATGCTTCGCTTAAAAGATTGTAATATCCACATTCTTCGCACGTTCATGCCATGTAGATGTATGATTTGTTTGTAATTTTTTTGAAATTAATTTCTTCTAAGTATTGGTTTTTTTAAAGTGGTTATGGTTTGTTGCTCTAGTAAAAAGTACTGGGGTGCATTCATCAACGCATTTCATATACCTTAGAGAAGGAAATATGGTTGATCATTAATTTTATAGATTTTTAGCAACTAATTTCTCGAAATGTGTTTATGTTTATTTCAATTATAAAAGCACAATATTCATTTTCTAACGCGAAAAATCTGCTGGTATTAATAATCATGGCCGTGATCTTTAGAAAGTCTATTGGAGGTGCAACTATTTGTGAGAAATTTATCGTTAAAAGACCACATGATTCGACAAATCAAAATATGAGGAGAACAAGAAAGAGAAATTAAAAATGGTTTAAGACATGTGATGGACATGTTTCGCGAAATTTAATATAAATAAGATGGAGACAAATTCCATGAAGTAATCAAATATAAGAACTGCTAAATTGAGATTATTATTTGATATTGTTGAGCACGAACAGGTTAGATATTGTTCAGTAAGCTTATCGCTCGTTCAAATTGTTGGTATTTCGTATGCTCAAGTTACTGATTTGAACTGTTTCAGTAATCAAGTCAATGCCTTTCAAATTGAACTAGTGCACAATATTGAAAGCTCTGGAAATTGATCCTATATTCTCTGATTCATGGTTCGTTTACCATCCAAAAGTTCTAAAAGTGAAAGTGTCAAGACTAACAGTTATTTCACTAAGAATATTGAATTTATAACAGTAAAGTTTTATCCATTTTTCTGTTGCTCATACTGTTATTCACAGTTGAATTCACACTGACCATTAGAGAACCATCTACTTGCATAAACTGACCTGCTAACATTCTAAATTGTTTTCAAGACATTTAATTTTACAAAACAAATTTCATTGCTTAACTGGTTAAAAAGATTTGTGCTATATCCTCACTTATTGCTGTTACTAGGATATAGTTAATAGTAATTGATTGATTGATAGTAATATTAAAACATACTACATTGAAGCACCACTTCAAGAAATCCAGTGTTTATTATGGGAAATTATTTTAACAGTTTATGCCAATATCACTTTTTTTTCAAGTGAAATTACAAAGCAGCTGTTTGCAGAGTAGTTGAATGTAGATAATTATTAGTTGGAATTAAGAAACTATTTATGCAATTTGTTTGGAACTTATTTTTCAAATTAAGGATAAGTGCTGGTGGAGGGAGGGCGGGGAAATTCAGAAATAGGAATTTCGAAAAAATATGCCAAGTATGAAAGACAGTGATTGTTGTAGGCAACTAGGCATTCTCATTGGTAGATTAACGGAATTGATTTATATCACTTCAATGGATCAATTCTGTTTACATCAAAGACGGCTTGAGGGATAATGGAAAATAATACAAAGGTTTGAAATGCAGTAAGTTCTACTCACTCAAGCAAAGGCGCATTTAAGTTTGTAATGTAATCCATTTCTCCTTTTTCTTCCTCTTCGCTTCTCACTTTCCAATTTCTTTATTCAGAATTCCTAGAAAATGAGCACTACTGATTGGCTATGTAAATACACTTCAGTACCGTAACATCTATTCGTATCGTCTCTGAACCCATTAGAATTCCTTTCTGTCTTTCTCTCTCTCACATACTCTTTCCTCATGTGGACAAGAGGACTAGAAAGTCATTTCAAGGTAAAAATTAGCCGCGTGAGAATCTTTTAAAGACATAAGACGCGTCTCCCAACACTCGCATCAAT